TGTACTTTGGTGGACTTCTGGAAAGCAAGAAAATGCGATAGGTGGAACGTTAAAATATTACGAGCGCAAATAATGATCCATAGGTGGCTTTGAATCATAGTGTGTCAACTCTCTCACCATCACCATCCATCCATGTTTAGACAGATGATGCCGCCCATGATTGATTCTTTTTCTGTGATCTCACGGAGATTAGTCAACATTAGGATCTATAATGAGCTTCACCAATTGTGAAAAGGAATGGTAGATGCTCTAGTGATATTCCATACACCATTTATGTAAGCCAAACTACATTTTTCGGCACAAATTTTAATATTTTAGAAAATTTACATAAGTATCTCGTATTTGTTTAGAATTTAAAATATGTTCCCTATATTTATGTTCATGTCTCACTTTTTAAGAATGCATTTACACATAAGTTTGAAGTTAAGGTCTTTTTTGTACTTCCTAATGGCCGATCTTAATTACTTCATCGTCTTTATTTTTGCTATTACTAAACTTGCATTCCATATACTCTGTCTTAATTCGATTAATTTTAAAACTTTTGGATTCTGAAGTATCCCTGCAAAGTTTTAACTTTGTATTGATGCCGTTTCGGGTCTTATCGATCAAAACTATGTCAACTGCGAACAACTTGCACTACAGTACCTCATCCTGTAGGTGTCTAGTTAAGTCATCCATAACTAAGATAAAGAAGTACAAACTCATTGCTTACCCTTGACGTAGACCTACCGTCACTAAAACTCACTCACATTTCTACTAGTTGTTCGCATACTAGTTAGCGCTCCATTGTACATATCTCTCACTAAGCCAATGTAGTGTCTGGAGACTCCTTTATTTTCCAATACCCTCCAAATCAAATCTCGAGGTACTCTATCATAAGCTTTCTCTAGGTCAATAAAGACAATGTTGAGCTCTTTTCCCTTCGTCCTAAACTTCTCAATCAGTTGCCTAAGTAGGAAAATGGTATTGATTATTGACCTTCTTGGCATAAAATCAAATTGATTTTCAGATACACTCGTTTCATGCCTTAGTCATTGCTCAATTACTCTCTCTCAAAACTTCATAGTATGGCTTATAAGCTTGATCCCTCAATAGTTCGTACAATTATTTTATATATATATATATATATATATATTGTTCTTGTAAATAGGTACCACAATATTTTTTCTCCATTCAACTGACATTTTCTTTATTCTCAACACCTTATTGAACAACTTCGTCAGTCAGTCAATCAATGCCAATCTCCCTCATGCATTTCCAAACATCTATTGGGATACCATCTGGTCCTAATGCCTTTCCTATCTTCATCCTTTTCAAAGTTTTTTTCACTTATCACATCCTAATCCTACAAATGTATTTATGACCTCTGCCCTCATTTATACTAAAATTTTCCTCTATCGTTATGTTCCTATTGTGTTCTTCATTTAATAATTTATTTTTTAAAATAAACTGTCCACCTATCATTGACATCATCATCCTCCACCAATACCCTTTGACCTTCATTCTTAATGCATTTAATATAGTTTAGACGCATACATTTTTTCTCTCTTATTTTTGCTATTTTAATATAGTTTCTAATCAATGTTTGCTAAATTGTTTCATGTGGCGGGGATCGCATTTCTACATTTACAGTCCCCGAGGTATAAAGCATCCATCTTAAAGATGGATGCAAATGTGTGGGCCATCTAACAATAATTAAATTAACGGTCTAAATGTTTTCTTAATAGAGTGATTATTTTTAATTTTTAAAATTTATTTATTCATTCATAACTATGATCTCCATGTTAGAGATTATATGGCATTAAAAATTATATCAAAAAATCCATCTAAAAAATAAATTTTTAAGAGGCGACTCATTTCTACATGAACTCATAGAAACCATATCCTTTTAAAGACCTATAATGCCCGCATGATTTTTCATTTTTACTAGGCTAGTGGCGAAGTCAAGGAGTTACATTGGAAAAATTTGGAGCTCTAAAACTACTTTTAAATGGGATTTTACTCGAGGTAATTGATGGATGAGATTATGATCTTTTCGGCTTGCGAAATAATTAAAGGGTACACTTTCCATACGGATGGTAGGTTAGAGGTAAGGTGCACCTTCAAATTTTATCATGGTATATCTTTTGGATGTAAAACGTCCTTAGGACTCAAAATTTATTTTTATATCTAATTATAAAATTTTAAATTTTAAAAATGGTTAGAATCAAATAGATCTATAAACATATGAAAATCTTGAAAATAGACGGTGTAGATAATATGTTGTAAAATACACTATTTCTGATTCTTAAAATCTTTATATTCTTCATAGTCATACATCTCGATATCTAGATGATCAATCGAAGGGTTTTTCAACATTAAAAGTACCTTTTCCGATGGATTTTTGAAGGACATCCGTAGTTCTATATTATAAGATAACATCCTTATATAAACTCTTTCCATGATTAAATGCTTGATATCAAATGGCACACCGAGTAGGGGCAGGACATTGTCTTGGACTCTGAGAATATTGACATTCAACATAGAGTATACTCTGTGGTAGCATATCAATTTTAGGGCAGTGGTCCCATGTAACGGTTGTATCATAATATAATGCAACTACATGTAATCCATGTTTGTGGTATTTCAATGATCCAAAATTTTGCACACACACTCTCTTCATCTTAATAATCAATCTAAAAAAAAAACAAGTTCAATTTGAACTATGAATATGGTCAAAAGGAGTCCTCTCTAACAATGAATCTAGACCATTCATTTGATGAATTTCAAGATCTTACACTTTGCAAACTCAAAATCACATTTTTCTTTTTCAAGATTGTTCATCTAATGATAATAAAGCCATAAAAAAAAATTGGAAAAAAAAATATCCTTCTAAAACCCAGATTTAACAATCTTATCAAAATATGGTTAATTGGGCTTAAAAGATACTTTTTAAGTTTCATTTTCAAATATTTGTTTTTTTGTGATTGTTCATTAGAATGAAAAAAATGTATATATCAAAATTTGAATAAAACATATAGCCCTATCATAGCTTTTTAGTATTGTTGCATTATATTAATATGCAACCGTTGCATGAAATCACTAAGTTAATGATAAAAAAGGTTATGATGGGTGTATTTATAAAAAAGATCATTATTTTTTGTTTTAAAAATTATTTTAATAAGTAACTTAACCATAAAGCAAAAGTAAATTTGAAATTTTTACCAAAATACAATAACATTTTAAAAGTTAGTATCTTGCGATTTATTTGTAGATTGTTTTTGTCCTTTAATAAAAATTTCAACTTTATCTTTATAAATATGACAAAACTACCTTTTGTCTTGTAATAATATTTATACAATTACTCTTACTTAATGAACAAGATATCACAAAAGCAACTTTTTAAAAATAAAAAAAAAACCATAAAATTAATAAATCCACCCATTGCAATT